GTGGCAGGAGAACGATGATCCCATAGGGTAGCCTTCTGGCCCCATTCTCCTTTCAACCAGTGGCAGAGGCTACGCTTCGTTGATGCAATTGTGCAACCTGGTGTAAAGTCCATAGCTGCGGAGGTGGGGGTAGGACTCTAAGCTGGCTCAGCACTCTGATTGTGGCCTCTTGACTCTTTCTCGATTTCATTACCCTCTTCTCTATGGGCCCTCTCTCTCTTTTTCTTTCTCTTTCTCAGTTCTCATTTCCTCTGTCTCTGTCTCTCTTTCTCTCTCTTTCCTCCCTTCTCTCCGATGCCTTCATCCCTGTCAACCTCCACCTTCAGGGGTCCCAAACTCAGGGAACCATCGCTTATCAAATATCATGGCTTTGCCCCTAACTTCTAGCAGCAGGCAGCTCTGGCCCTTGTCCGCTTATCTGAGTGATTTTCTTCTCCACCAGTTGTTTGTTTCTCTAATCCATTTGGAATTGTGTGTAGAAACCACGGAGAAAAAAATCCAAAACCGAACAAACAAAAACCCCCAAAAGGAGCTTTTCCATAGTGAGACTGACCCCTGGACTAAAATAGAAATGAAAAGAGACTTAGATTCTGCTCCCTTGAAAAGTGATATGATGAAAAGAGAGGAGTAGCAAAGAAAAGAGAGCAAAAAGCACCAGCACACACTAGAGCCCAAGGCAAACCATACCATTCAGATATTGGGGCATCACTCTGAGTCCATCATTTTCCACTTCATCAGGATTTATAAAGGTTATTTTTGCCTGTAATATACCTGTCGTCCTGGTCTTGCTCAAGTGGTTTTGCACAGATACCATCTGCACCACCTCCACAGCCAGCCACGCGACGCAAAGCTGCAGACTCCCTGAGCCCAGGGCTCTTGCTTTTTAAGAGGGGGCCTTGAGAGTGATGGAGAAGCACATAACACAGGAAAGAAAAGAGAAGCTGGATGGAGTAATTACTTTACAAGGTTACTTGGTGCACACAAAATCAAAACAAAATTAAAATGTAGGGTTCAAGCATTAACTTTTCCAGTACTGCATGGGCTTCAATAACACAATAGCCTTCTGTGGGATCAAAGAATGTTCCTTAAAACCTTCCTTCTTTAAGGTTTTCTCTCTTCTTACTGCATTGTACGTGTTTATATTACATTTTTCTTTTCTTTTTGAAAAGTTATTTATTCTTGGCTGTGTTGGGTCGTCACTGCTGCGCATGGGCTCTCTCTAGTTGCGGTGTACCCTTTGTTGCGGTGCGTGGGCTTCTCATGGCGGTGGCTTCTCTTGTTGCAGAGCACAGGCTCTAGGCGTGCAGCCTTCAGTAGTTGTGGCACGCAGGCTCAGCAGTTGTGGCTCACGGGCTCTAGAGCGCAGGCTCAGTAGTTGTGGTGCACGGGTTTAGTTGCTCCGCGGCATGTGGGATTTTCCCAGACCAAGGTCGGAACCCGTGTCCCCTGCATTGGCAGACGGACTCTTAACCACTGCACCACCAGGGAAGTCCCCATTTTTCTTCTTAACTGATTTTCACAAGGAATGGGAGGGTAAGAGTGTATATGTATGTGTGAGCAAAAATATTTATAAATGCTTTTTTTTCTTTTAGTGTATGAAATAGGAGGGGGACTTCCCCGGCAGTCCACTGGTTAAGACTCTGCTCTTCCAGATGTGGCACGTACATACAATGGAATATTACTCAGCCATAAAAAGAAATGAAATTGAGTTATTTGTAGTGAGGTGGATGACC